CCCGGCGGCCCAAAAGCAGGCCTGGGGCGGGCTGAAGTGCTGCTCAAGAGGCGTTCGGGGAGGGGTCGAGCGGCTCTGGCGGGAAGGGGGAAGCTGTTAGCCGGCGGGGGTGTATTAAAGGTCGGGAAGAAGCGCGAGGTCCTGAGGCTGAGGGGGGTGGGATCTCTTCCAGGAGCTGGTGCAGCCCCTCAGACAGGGCTTGTTGGTGTTACAAGGGAGATTGAGGTTAGGTAACATTGCTTGTTATCACACCGGTCTCTTGATTAAGCTCTCCAGCTTGCAAGTCACCAAACTTCAGGTCTTCTAGCAAACTGTCATCTCTGTATTCAGGTGGTGTTTAATAGCATGTGCAGGTTTGCCCCTTTTAGGCAGCCAGTGGGTACTGCCAAAATGCACTGCACCTGGGACTGCCCCCTCCCCTTCTCCTCCCATCTGTGTGGGGAAGGTTTCACACTCCAGGTCTCCTCTCCTCTTGTCTCCTCTCCTCTTCTAGATGGAGCCAGTAGTAGAGTCTGTATTCTCTCTTCTCCAGGAGCCTGGGAAAAATGATATTGCAGGATATACAGGTGAGATGTAAACTCTGCTAGTTAAATCACGGAGGGAAGCTTGAGGCTCCAACTGGGTGGTGCTGGGGACATTGTGTTCCTTCTTCTCAGCTGGCTGCTCTGTCCTGGGTTGCTAGGATGGTATGGCATGCTAGGCTGAGGCAAGGTGGTCAGTGGTATTTTGTGTTTCTTTCTGCTGTGGGTTTTTAGCAGCTGTTTTAAAATAAGACATTATGCTTCATTTGGAGTGAAGGAAAGCCAGCACACTTCTCTCTTTCAGGCTTTTTCATGGGTGAGGAAGGTCTGAGGGAGTTGCACAGCCGCATCTGAAATGCGTGATTCCCCAGCACTAGCTGTGAATGGGAATGGAGGGTTGTTCGGTTCCTGTTGCGCTGTTAGAGACCTGAGGTCCCTGCATGGGCCTCTTGGGAATAATCAGCTGCTTGGCTGTAGAGCGAGGGAATAACTGCTCCTGTGAGAGGGAGTCGTCTTCATCCCTCTGGGAGAAAACTACCTCTTGGATGTAATTCCTTGATGTAAGAGATGAGCCCCCCCTCCCCCAGTACATGTTTTTTTTTCTTTTATCGCTGGTATTTAGATCTTGGCTGTTGTGGCCATGTAAATAGAGAGCATTTTCTTTCTTTAAGGGCATGTTACTTAAGAATTTTATTCCTTGGTGTCATAGAGGTAGGACTGAAATGGCACTGCAGAGTTTTACCTTGAATGTAGAAAGCCTGTTTTTTTGGTAGTGGAATAATCAAACTTGACATATTAAATGGAAGTATATGTAGTGTGAGTAACTGAACATTTTAATGCTAAATCAGAGATGCTAATGCCTAAGTCCTCTATTTGAATTAATAGTAAACATCTTAAGACGCCTGCAGAAATGAAGCTGAGATAAGTGTGTGTCAGGTGATACTCAAAATCCTATTAATGCTGAACTGATACAAATGTAAAATTTAGTCCGCAGAGTAAGATAACCAAAGCTTACCGTGGGGTGCATGATCATACATACTCATTTGTGAAATACATAGGTTGTATTCTTCAAGAAAGAAAGGGCCATGTTTGAATGTTTCCTGTGAGCTTCCTTGGAATGCAATTCATTTAGCTTGTCACTACAAGAGAAGTAGGTGTCATGCTAGATCTAGATATGAAAGAGATAGTAATAGTTAATTGGCAATTAGTTAATTAATTTGACTTCTGATGTATGAATACACAGTATCCCTATAATAATTACAGCTGTTCTTGTGATAATTAGGGAAAAAAACTGACATGTCGACCTGTAAAAGAAGTAATTTAAATTTTTTCAGTAAATATTAACTAACACAAGTGAGAAACAACCTAAACCTCCCTGTTGATTTTGCTTACTGAAGGCTAAGGGGATTTTTTTGTGTTGAACCATTCCCACCCAAATGCACAGCTTTAAAACAGAGTTTTAATACTAATTAAGTAGTATTATATTCTATATGTATATAAATACAGCAGGCTGGAAGGCTTTTGAGCAAAGTCTGCAGGAACAAATAGCTAAAAGTAGATATTTGTGACGGGTAAGAAGTTTCAGCGTGTTCCTTTTCCTTCCTTCATTTTGGCAGTCTTCCTTTGCCATTCCCTGAGGGGAGGAAGAACAAGGAAATGGGGAGGGGAAGGAAGAGAAGAGGTAGGGTTTTCTACCTCTCTTTTCTTCCCTGTGCCACTTTTTCTTTTCCTTGTCTTCCTGTCTCAATCTTCATCATTTCCCTTCCTCTTTGGACAAGAGGAATCTGGTGCAAGTTGATGCTAGGCCTGAGAGATTCAGTTATTTTACAAGGAGCAGTTTATCTGTCTTAGGGGAAGGAGGAGTGTCGGATTGCTCTCTTACTCCATCAGAGGACTGCATTTTGAGTGACAATGAGGAAGACAGAGGCGTCCCCGAAGACCTTAAGCGAGATGTACTGCCTCGGCTACCTGAAGCCCACAGCCCAGACTGGGTGGCAGCCAGCCTGCAAAGGCAGCAGAGGGCAGCCTGTAGTAAACCCCCTCACCAAAAAAGAGGCTCCAAGAAACTCACCCTTATCGCTGATGGCCAGAAACCGCACACAGAAGAGAAACCCTACAAGTGTACAGAATGCGGGAAGGGCTTTAAGGGGAGCTCCAGGCTCCTGAACCACCTGCAAACCCACACGAGAGAAAAAATGTTTGAGTGTGTAGAATGTGGGAAGAGCTTTAGCAGGAAGGCCAACCTGGTTGTGCACCAGAGAATCCATACGGGGGAGAGGCCTTACAAGTGCAAGGAATGTGAGAAAACCTTTAGCTGTACCTCAAACCTTATTGCTCACCGCAAAACCCATGCAAAAAAGAAAGCCTTTTCCTGCACTACGTGCAGGAAAAGCTTCAGTGGAAGCACAGCTCTCTTCCAGCATCAGAGAGTCCATATGGATGAGAAGCCCTATAGGTGTACCGAGTGTGGAAATAGCTTCCGTCTGTGCTCAAACTTCATCAAACATCAACGGATTCATTTGAAAGAGGGACCCAGTGAACACACAGCAGGTAATTGAATTAAGATCTGTTGAGTTTTATTTCAAGCTGTACAGACTCACAGGGGGATGTATCAGATACTGTGGTCTCCATTTGTTCCTAAACACTTCCCCCTCCTTGCTGTGGATGTGAGTGGGGTTTTTTTGTTTGTTTTTTCCCTTCCTATATAATATATTTGTCTCTGTTATTTGAAGTGCCTTGAAAATCCCAAAGTTGAAATTTAGGCTTTGCCATGAAGGCTGCCTGGGACCTTAGACTCTGGAAAGCTCTCAGATCCCACTAGTTCCTGCTTCATAGTGTTGCCTGATGTCTAGCCCTAGATCTTCAGAAGTGCTTAGCCAACAAAATACTAAGCTTAGGGAAGTGGAAGGGATTTAGACTGTGAATCAGGGCCTTGGTAATCTCTAGCAGCTAATTTTTGTCATATGTGGATATTAAATGAGCAGCTTCTCGTTGTCTGCAGCGGGAAGTTTCTGCTGGCCGACCCTCTGTAATACTCTTAGCATAGCATAAGCTGTCAGGCAAGGTAATTGTTTAAAGTAGGGAGTTTTCTGGATTTTGCAATATTCCATGTTCTTGTAATGACCAGAAACTCTGGGATAAAAACTGACATTGTGGGTTTTTTCTGTTGTACATTTACGTGGGCAGTCCCTTTATACTTGGCCAAAGATCTTTTAATCTTGGGGCTTGCCTAGCCACCCGTAGAATTGTTCAGGGTGTTAGGGTCTTGACCACCAGATCATGCAACAGAAGGGCAATTAAGACATGAGGCCATATGAGAAAAAGGTGTTTTGTGTGTGACGTTTTTCCTTGAGATTTTATTTGTTTTATTTTGTTTTTCCTCCTGAAAAAAAAATTCTGAGCAGCAGAGCCTTTCATCTTAACAATGGAAATAATAATGAAGTTATAATGAATAATAGCAAAGTTATAATGAAATGGCAAAACTGAATTCCTAAGGTGGGGTTTGAGACCTCTCAGTCCATAGATACAGAGAGGTGGCCTAGTAACTCTGCTAATGAGCCCTTAAGATGGACCTTTACGCTCCTAATGCTTTTTTTTTTCTTGAGGGCTTTTAATAGTGTTTTAGATGTAAGAGTTCATAATTCATAAGAAAAAGAAAAAAATAGTCTCATTTTTACCCTGGCAGTTGGCCAATAATTAATATCAGATCAGCCTAATACTATATCTGCTTCAAAAGAAAGTGTGCAAACTTACTCTGGAGTAACTATTAGCTACTGCATCATAGTAATTCAAGTTTTGTAATAAAATTGCTTTTATGATCAAACATATGCCACATCGGCCTTGCAATGTGTGGATTAGGAATGAAACTTGCTTTCTATATCTGATATAATTTCAAAGAAGAGGTTTACATATTTATAACTTAAGTACGTTTTTACTAAATGCCAGCTGCCCTATTCCTTAACAGCTCCCTTGCTCCAGCTTTGCTTCCTCCCCAACCCCTGCCCCCCACCCCCCCAAAAAAAGAAAAAAGGTATGGGGGAAGCAAGCAGAATGTATCTTGATTGTGATAAAACCCAAGTCTGTAATGTTTTGGGGGCTATATCTGCCTAGTCTTTGTTCTGGTTTGGCTTAGTTTGGGCCAAGATGTGACTTGCATGAGGTTAAAGTTTAAAATGTGGGTGAGATGAAGGGTTGTTACTGAGCTGCCTTTTCCTTGTGTGAAAGCATATTTAAAATGCTGACCTAGCAATTGGTGATAAAGTGGGCTCTTGACTTACACTATCTTTCTTTTAGATGCAAACTATTCTGAATTTACATCTCTGCATCATAAAGAAGAGCAAAGGTGTGGTGCAGAGAATCGTGAGATGGATCACTTGAATCTTGTTCTTGAAGAGTGTAAGTATAAAAAGGCTTCTAAATTGCCATGCAAAGTATTTTTATGTAGCAAGCATTAACATTCTCTTCTCTTCGTACAGTGAAGAAAATGAGGGAAAATATGGATATGCTTCTTCTGAATCAGCAAAGTCAGCTGCAGGTCCTGCAAGAAATTCAGAAACAACTGAATATACTCCTCCCAGGCAATGATCTCATTAATTCAAATGTCTATAGCTTAGGACTTCTGCTAGGACGGCAGGCAGCTGCAGCAGCGTCTCTTTCTTTTCCCCTTCTTAATCCCAGCAGTCTCCTCCCTGAAAATACCAGTTTCTTATCCCAGTCATCTGCTCCTGGAATTGTGCCTACCACTCAGCTCCCAGTCTCTCAATATCCTGCAACTTCTACTTGATCAGCTTTGTGCTGTGAATGTATCCAATGTAAACAAATGTGACTACTGTTTTGTGCGTTTTCTCACTCAAACGTGATCTCTGTGTTGTAATGTTGAAATTGTAGTACCTGTGAAGATGCTGACCATACACTCAGACTTGGAAAGATACGTGCCTCAGATGCATCAGCAAACAGCAGTTGATCAAATCCACTGCCCCTTCATTCGTTGCAGCATGCAGACGCTTTGGCCAGTAATGTGTTTTGTCAAGGCAGCTTGAGGTCTTAACTACACTCCAGTGATAAAGTGCAACATGCACATATAAGATAATGCATAAAACTTAAGCATATTTTTCTACCTGATATGTCTTTAATATGTACTTGGGCAACTGGACCTCTCCTAATGAGCTGAAGCTAATGATAAAATCATCAGGGATGCTTTAGGCAACTCCTATTAAGTCTGATTTGTATAGAGGTAAGCAACATGCTTATGTAAAGGTGTTCGATTTAACTGCACCTCTATGCCTACAATCCGTTTGCGAAAGCTTCCTTCATTTGGGAAGGCTTTAAACTAGGTGACCTTAGCTGATTCTTAGGCCAGCATCACTACTAAAAGTACAAAAAATATTTCTGCTTTTTGTTTAAAACAACCTCCCCCCCCAAAAATCACACAACAAAAAAACCCAACAAAACAACAGCATTCAGGTCTACCTTGCTTACTAAGAGTTTATGACAAAAAGCCAAATTGCTTTATAGGACAGTTGTTCTTTTGTTCAAAAGTGAACTCACTCGAGTCTGGTTTTAGATACTGTCATATCCTATTTGGATTATTACATGTTGTTGACTGTTATGTATTAGTTCATTGGGGGTAGGACTGGGGTAAATAATTGCTGTTTGGGGAGGAACACTGAGAAGCTCAGGTGAGCTTTTCCCCTGAGCTCAGGGGGAAAAATGATTTAGTTTTTAATTATTTTTTTCCTGTTCCCGCAGGACTCTGTCATGGGGTCATTTAAGGCTAGTAAGTGCAGAGTTTTAAGAAGTGTTAGTCCTTTCTGCCTCCTTGTTTCTATCAGTGACACAGGCTAGTAGCAGTGTCAGAGCCTTTGAGCTTCAGAAGTGCCAAAAAGCTAACTACGATTTACCTTTGAACAGCTGCTGGGATAAAGAAACTTTGGGGCTTGCGCCTATGCTAAACAGTCTTTCTCTTGAACTGACACTGTGTTTGTGGGTTGTTGGTTTTGTGGTTTGTTATTTTTTATGATGTCTTGTTAAAAGGATGCACTGTTAATAATTAATAAAATACAATTTAGATTTTAAGAATGGGAAACACTACTTCTCTTAACGAGTCGTCTTGGTGACAGTGCAATGATGTCAGATTCTGGCCCAAAGATAAAACTCCGTGGGATCAGGTATGAGTCTGTGTGTGTGTGAATACAGACTATGAAAATCACACACTGGTTTTTATTATGTAGGATTTTGTATTAGTCTTAACTCAGTAGGATATTCATTTAAGCAAAATTGAGAGGCCTTAAAGGGCATTCCTTCAATGTGAACTTCTACTGAAATATTTGGGGTTTATTTTCCATCAGTTGAGCATATCGGAGGCATGTGGCTCTAGACTTAAGAGCTCCAATAAGAGTTGCTAACGTGCTATGGAAACTCTGGGGTACTGTTCATAATTTCTTGGATGTTTAATTTCATTTTGCTTGGAAGCAGAATCCCCTCTTCAAAGCAATGGTTAAAGTTTGTATTTTAGTGTTTTTTAAGATGTTCAGTATTAAAACGTTGCATTTTTGTTAGAAATTAATCTTTGCTGAGCTTCTGTCCTTTGTAAAAGAGCACCAGTGCTTATTTGATACCGGAACTGGAGTTCAGTTAGTCTAATGTATGTGCCTTCCCTGTCTCCTTCTGCTTTTATCATTCTATCTTCCCCTTTCCCTGCATCTAAGCATCTCCTTACATTTCTGTCTCTGGAAACTCTCGTAAAAGAAAACATAGCTAAGTCTGCCGCTTCTGCAACTTAGACCAGGTAGGAGGAATCTCTTATTTGAGGGGTTAGGTAGGATTTTTGCCTGTTGGGAAGGAGTTTGTATATGAAGTTTCTGTATGTAGCTGGCAGGCTCAGGAGCAGTTTGTAGCAAACCTAAGGTGAGCTACATCCTTTTGTATTGGTGTTCTCTAATGTGTTTGTTGGGTCCCATCTGAACTTGAGGATAAAGTCCTCAAATACACTTGCAGTTCAGAGGCACTGGGGACTTCAGGAAGTGTTGATACGGAGGAGCACAAGAAACCATCATACTTCCTATTTTTGGGCTACCTCTCTCTCCTTCTACGGGAGAGTGGACATGAGAAGTCTTTCTCCTCCTATCCTCCCAAGCACTTAAGTGGTTCTGAAAAGCACCTCTGATGCTAAAAATATGCCTATTCCTAGGTGGGGTGGGGCCTGGGAGCTTCTTGCCCATGTTGGAAGGTATCTAGAATGCTTCTTGCCTCCTTTTGTTCCTTGCAGTGCTCTGGCAATAATGTAAAAGGGTGTGTGGGGCAATCTCTGACAGCTTCCCAGGGGTACCGGAGAGCTTTGCAGTGTCCAGGAATATGTAAGAGGATACCACAGAAGCTTTCCTGGTGAACTTCAGGTCTGTAGTCTGTGCAGGTGTATTTGATGATGTGGACTGGACAGCGTGTGAAAGGTAATTTGGAGGAGATGCGAACTTCTCTGACAGCTGTCAAGGCCTAGGATTGCAGGTTTAATATCTTAAATCGTGTCCATCTGCTTCTCTAAGGCATGTTTAAAAGAAAAAAACAAAACCCAAATATCTGTGTGCAAGGAAATAGCTGGAACTCATTCCGTGCTCAAAATGTTGGAGTTCTGCAGACAGGAAAATATAGTCCTTTTTACAGTCTGCTTTCCAAAGGAAAAGTCTATTAAAACATCCTGGGTTAGCCATGTGAAGGAAGTGGGAGTCTAAGATCACGTTTATCTATTTCCATTCCATTTTAAGTTATAGTAGCTCAGGAGCTTGGCACCAGTGAGAAATGTATTTGTAAATACAAGTACTCTCACTGCTTTAGCACTGCTCTTCTGACAAACTGTAAATAGCTTGCTCAAGGCCTACTAGAGGTGGGGATTTGATATTTTCCTCCACCTCAATCTTCTGTGATTAACTTGTGTGACTCTGCTCCAACCTTATCGTTTCAGTCCTGCAATGATTTTTTTGTTTTCCCTTAAACTTTTGGGGTTTTTGTGAGGGGGGGGAAAAAAAAGAATTCTGGTAGTTGCACAAAATCAAGCAACAAATCAGTACAAATCAAAATTCGATGCCTAGAAGGGGACAGTGCTGTTTCCAGTAAAGTATCAGAGCAGAGCTGCCATGCATGTGAAGTCCTTAAAGAGTCAGTGGGCCCTGAGAAGAGGGGTGTTGTGTTGGAGTTCAGAGATGCTCTTCTCTTTTGTCCATAACTTCTCCTTGGTGAAGTCCACTGCCATATCACCAATGACACTAGTACCTGCAAGAAGGAGCACGATCACCAATCAGGCCTGTGCTGAGTGAGTAATCCCGCTGTACAGCCACGGGCAGTACAAATACTGTTGTCAGTGCAGTAGAGAGCAGTACCTAGCTGACCTAAATGTGTCTCTGGCCCTGTTTTGTGCAGGAAGGTATAAAAATAGGTAGAGGAGGTGACAAGAAGAATGTGGGTAGGGTTGTAACAGATGCAGAGAGATAAGGACAAGAAAAGTACCAAATATTGATACTTCAGAAAAATCCAACTAATTATGGGAAACAATGTCTTCTATTTGTCTGGTCATCTGGCAGCTTTCTTCACTGTGGGACGGCTCAAGAACAATCTCTGCTTATTCTGGACACTTTTGGGACTATTGTTGGCCTTTTCTTATATTAAGTCCCATTTGTAGAGTACCAGTAACATATTAATCCTTCAATCCCATTATCAGTTTCCCTACCAGCAAGTGGACTTGCCACACCTCCTGCAATCTTAGCATGTTGTCTTCCTCCAGATATTTGGAAATTGCAGCCTCGGGTGAGTAAAGGTGATAGCAAGATCCTCAAACGTGCTAGATTCTCTCTGGATGTAGAGTTACCTAACAAGGGAAAAAAATAGTAGGTTTAGCCTCAGTGGTAACAATTTTCCATGATAAATTATTAAGAATTTACTCCACAACTTATTAACAGCACTCTCACTGATTTCATTCCTATAATCTGTTAGTAAGAGCAGTGGATAACATTCACCAGCATTACACAATTCCTTGGTGACTTAACATTATTTCTGATTTCCAGGTAACACTAACCTCACATCATTGCATGTCTACATTTTACTTGTATTATTCAGATTGGATATTTTTCACCATGCTTAGTATTGTGCTCACTGATAGTTTTCTGATGAAAATAATGTTTTTGACAGGTGACTCTTAGATTTTTTTGCATTATCTGAAGAAGACAGCTTTGTTAGTCCATGTGAACTATACTCCAAGACAGAGATGCCAAAGTAGGTACCAGATAATCTTGAGGGCCTTCTTCAGTCTTATTTTCTCTAAGATTCCTCAAGAACTGCAACACCTTTGTCTTCATCAGTGTCTGTCTTTAGGGGTTCTTAGAGGGGTTTTGCTGCTGTCCTTAGGGTTCTTTTCTTGAGTTACCAGACTTGGTTTCGCCTTTATGAATGAGATGCAGGATATGCATAAAAACTCCACTAAATTTGGCAGAACCTTACCAGCATTAAACTATTGTAGGAGGAAGTTGATGCCTGTCTTACTATGTAACTTATTCTTTATACATATTCTAGCTAGGTGTTACAGTGCTTTATTGCTGCTCCTGCTACAGCAAAACTAGCAACTGGTTTGCCCCCTTTTTCTAAACTCTACAATTACTTAAAAATAGTAGTTCTTGTTTCGAAGAGAAAGCCATTCTTTACAGATTTGTAAAAATTCATGACAAATGAAGCAAATCTGGGAAAACATGCATATTCCCTGTGTGTACAACAAGGCAAAGAAAGGAAGTGAGGGAAGAAATTGGAGAAGGCAGCATAGGAAGAGCAGCCTCAAGAAGCCTCAGCTGTATTGGGAGAAACAGAGGAGGAGATGTATATTGCATCCAGGCAGCTGAAGAAGGAAAAGTATAATGACTATAAAATACTTGCCCAGCCACTAATATATACATTATACCTGCACTGATAGCTCTGTGTAGGTAGCCTCTCTTCTTGATTCCTGCGGGAGAGTTCAAGCTATAGGAGGTATAGCACTGTAAGAAAGATTTCTTACAGTGCT